GTAAGTGACAAGTAGGTTTACGAGGGCTAAAACACTGCTGGCGAGAGTTGGGAACGTAATAATATAGGAACCATCCCAAGAGTAATTCATGTCTTGACTTTCTTAATAATTGTCTTGAAATAGTGTCCAAATTATAATTACTGATAATCCCCAAGGGAACAAGAGTCTAGTATTCGGTACATATGTGCTTGCAGAAAATAAAATAAACGATATTCCTTATTTTCTAGAAATTCATAAATGTAGAAAAACGACTAAAAGCTGACGATATTAATAAATAAATGTTTAATCATAATTTATTTTGTGAGTTTATATTAGTAAATTTCCATTTTCTTTATTGTTTGTTCCACTTTCATTTTCTTGTACACATATTTATAATTATAAAATTGTGTAATTATTAAATTGTTACAATTTATTTATATTAAAAAACACAGCAAAGCTCGTAAATTATATAAAATAATAGGCATCTGAAAAATTACAATAACAACTCAATCGTTTCTCTTATTTACGCAATTATATAATTATTTATTTAAATTCTACTTTTAAAAATAAAATGTTTCATCACATTTTCTCGCGTCCTATTTTTTTCATGCAGAATTATTATCGTTCTCGATTTATAACACCGCAAATATATCATTTATGACAAGAAATTTAATATAGAAGAAGATAAATTTCGAATTTTCGTATTTTTTTTTCAAGGATGATCAAAAAGTTAAAAATAAATATCATTCGTGTCACTAGATATCGTGAAAAATAAGAAACTCTGATAGAAATGTATCGGAAACGATTTGTATACAAACAATTTTTATTCCACGTCCAAATTGTTTTATCGTGACAAATAACTCTTAACACTGCGACACTATTCTTTATTACATTTGAGATGTCCCATCGTCAAAATTCCCGTCAGCGAATTTCAGATGTCTCATCGACCTACAGTCATCGAATATACATTGGCCGAGAGTCCGAGTTAAACATTTATGCTGAACTTTGTCTGATCTCTCCATATCAAGGATGCTTTTTGTAAGTATTTTTGGATGGAAAATGTTACGTGTGAAATTGTATACGTCAGATAGATATTCTTTATAAATTCCGCGGGATATAAAGTTACAATAAAACATTGAAAATATAATAATATTCTTTATAAAATACTTTCGAAATGATTATAAGAATGAAAGAATCAAAATAAGTACAATTGTCTTATAAAAGCTTTCACTTTCTTAAATAAAAAATAAAATTGTTTATAACAGAGCTACTCTTTAAAAGAGTATCATCTCCTATACGTAACAATTTGTTTATGCGTTATACAATAAATAACAATACACAATATTCAATTATATTATATTAAAAAATAACTCTAACTTAAAAATAATAATTTCTATCAAAAAATTGTATCTTAATTATATTTTTTAAGCTTTTTGCTATTACATTTTTCTTAGATGTATTTCGTAAAATATATTATTGCATGTCCAACGTTTTCCATTCTAATTTAGAGTTGCGTGTGTTATAGAATTTACCGCAGTTATATATTACAATTAGAAACATATGCTTATATCAATTCTATACTGTTTTGTTACAGTATATGTATAATAATAACTGGCACTGCGTTCAATTTAGTACAACTGAGAATAGTTAATGATTTATTTGAGATATATAACAATAATGCACGCAGGAGTCGACGCTAATATTGATACAAACGAAATTCACGCACCGTAAAATAACGATTTCCCTTGGGCATTTAAACCCATTTAAATAATTATTATTGCGCAGTGCAGGGTATTTCGTTAAATGTGCCATTTGCGGGAAATATACTGTATTTCAGATTTAAGGCCTGGTCTTCTCACATGTGACACTAAATACTTTCGTAAACAAAACGACGTAACATTATGAGATGAAACAATATACTAATGTTTGAAAGCTTTAATTCTTAAGTATTTCTTCGAACCAATAAAAAAAATCCGCGATTGAAAATCAAATACACTAGAATCACACAAATCCGTATGGCTTTTAATGCGTTACCATTAGGAAAAGGTATGCCCTCCCTCTCCCTCTAATGTAAAACACGCTCTCCGCGCTCAACTCGGCGTAATAGCTTTCCAGTGTTAGGTATATAATATGCATGAAGCCGCAGAACCTCAAGGAGAAACGGAAACGAGGCAACAAGGTCAAAGGAGACAAAAAAGTAGCTAAAAAAAAAAGGAAAAAAGGAATCAGACCCTTTAAACCTTTCAAAATTAACGTAATTCAAAAACAATGAGTTTATATCCAGATGCTGAAGACAAGAAATATATAGTAATCTCGAAAGAATAGGACGTCCTTCCTATGTTAAAAGAATTATTTTATTCTTTTTAAAAGTATTTCGATATGACAGTTCCGCATATGTATTTCCTAAAGAAAAATATTTAAAAAAATATTTTGCCGTAAAATTTGTTTGTAACATGAAACAAAAATCATATCTCAAAGAAAATATAAAATTCTAATATCCGAACTTGCACAATGCTCAATATCATAATAAATAATAATAATAATAATAATAATAAAATTATAACAGATTAGATAAACGGATAAGAAGAGGTTCTATGACGAAAATTTTATATAATTAACAAAATCACTGGTTTCCTTCCTCCGCCTCCTTTCATAACGTTTCCTAAACGAGCCTTTCTTACTTAACGAGTTCTATTCTTAAACGAGCAATTTTGTACTGGTCACCGTAACCCCCTATCCACTTTAGCCCCTATCGCCCTTTCGAGATTACTATGGAAACGCGATCTAAGGCACTATTCCATCGTGTCTATGTATAATGGAGAAAATTGAATTCATCGAAATTATACCGGTTTCTGTCCGAACCGACTTTGATGAAACGACGAGCTTCGAACGGAAATACGAAGCGCACGTTTTCAATCGAACGCGAATTGCTACGCGTTGCTATCTGCGCTCATTGCCTCGCATACTCAGAATCAGGGAGGCGACGACGTGCGAATATCTTTGGAGGTTTCCGAGGGACGGAAAAGCTCAACACGGCATACATTATAACGATGGGAATTAACGCTGAGATGCTGCCACAAATTGTTTCACATGTGCAAAATGATTCTCGCTGTCGCATGCGTTTGAAGATATTGCGCAATGCCTGCATTTTGCAACGGAGAATAATAAGGAGGAAGATTCATCACTGAGTTCCATTAAATACGACCGCAGTATATGCTACTGTAATGCAAGAAAATATATTTTAAAAATTTTAATGGCACGATGATGAGATATTATTCGTTTTTTTCTCTCGTCTCTTAAACGTTGAAAATCTTTGAAGAAAAGGGCTTAAAGGATAATTGTTTGTGTGTTTTTACGCGCAAATAGTAGTAAATAAACACTCGCTTTTTTAATTCCGTTACTCGAAAAATACGATAATTAAATACCTATTTAAAAAAATATTTAAGAGAAAATTGCACCTATCTTTTCTCAGATTTCTGCGCTCTTCATTCTCGCGATTATCCATCCATTTAAAATGTTTAATGGTAAATGTGGCTCTTTACTCGCGTATATCCAATATGAGAATTACGTTTGCGTATTAATGTGAGATAGCTAGGTATCAGAGAGAACCATTCAGTACCAAATCTGCGATGACAATACGAAACTGTGCGTATTCATGAAACATTCTCGTATCTACGACCGCAGTATTTTCGTACGTCATCGCCACGAGGTTTAGAGGATCCCAATTTTCGGGTAAATTACTCGATTAATTAACTAAACATACCAATCAATTAAGCACTTCCACTGAACCGATTGCCGCAATTTACTAACGCAAATCCGCATTCGTAGGTGCTAATTACGTACGCTATTCAAAGACACCGAAGCGCGTACGTGGATTCCATTCACGAAAGCGCCATTCTGTTAAGTACGAAGACAAACGGAGAAATGCAGTTGCGAGAAAAAGCAATCCTCGCTGATGCGGAGATTGCATTGCTGCGTCAAAGTCGAGTTGGGAATCATATCGTTGCAAGCGGAAGCTGATAGCGATGGGCGCGCCAATGACAGAAGACAGATCCAAGTAAAGAGCGTGGCACTTTGGCGAGCTGCTGAGATGCGCTTTATAACGAGGATCACAAGCGAAAGGACCGAAGAAAAGAAAATGCGTAAAGTAAAAGTAGCAACTAGGAAAAATAAAAGATGAAGGGTCCTAGCCTGATGAGAGACGACTAGAAATCGCCAGATTTTCTTCCGCCTGGTGACGTATGCCGACATTTTAATGGTTCCTATTGTTGCAGGCTCAGATTTCTCCCAACTTCCAAACAACGAGAATAAGACGTATTTTCTTTGCTCGGTCACAAAATCATGCCGCAATTCGATTGTATACAAATAACGCAACTTTTACGTTACGATTTGGTAAGATTAAAGTGAATCCTTCAAAGTGCGATCTTCCGTTCCAACGTTTTCTAAGTATTCTTTCTTCTTTTGCAAGAAGAAAGAAAAAACGTACCATTGAAAGTAAAAATACAATGAGAAAGAAAATTACATGAGGGGGAAATAAAAATAAAATTATTTGTATAGCTTCTTCACAACATTATTCGCGATATAAACGCAATTATAACATACATTATACAATTTTAAAATAAGAAATATATAAAAATGTATGGAATTATATAAATGCTCTTAAATCACGATAACAAATTACTAATATCTAATTTACATCTTTTCCGTATAGGTTTACTTCGCGTAGAGATTTAAATTAAGATTAAATCTCCATTTGGCTTATAGATTACCGCATCCGAGATTCCTAGATCATTCCTAAAGAGACTCGACTCTATTTGCGCTTTTGTCGCGAAGATGCAAAGAACTGCTTTGACAGACGAGAAAGGACAGTGCAGAGGAGAAGAGGAGGAGAAAGACAGAAAGAAACAGAATGAAAGGGAGGAAGACGTAGAAGGGGATCAGAATGGAGAACTGGACGCAGGCGCAAAAGCTACCCCATTCCAGCGTACGAGGCGTCGCGACGCCTTTTCGCTTCATTCGGCGTCCGGACGTCAACTTACCATGTATGCGGGATCGCGCGACGCTCCACGCATTTCTACCTAACGTGCAACAGCTGTGTTGTTCGCGATAAAATCGCTAATAAAGCAAAAAACTCGCGGAACGATCGACGCGAGTGTGTGATAAATGTCACGATGAATTAAAATAAACTGTATTAAGGGAACGTAAGTGCGATATGTAAACGTAAATCGAACCAAACTCAAATTTAGCGGCCAAAGTAATTTCAGCCAGCGGCTCATTTCCGCGAGCTGTTCTAGTGATCGGTTAAGTGGGGGCGATAATTCGATCTGGAAGCGACGAGGGAGGTGGAAAATTGAAAACGGAATGTTTGTGCATCTCTCCGTCCGGATTGACGATAATGCTCGTTTCGTGCTCGAACGGTTATTACGCTATGCGTAGAAAAGTGTTCCCATGGCACTCGGGAGGATCATTCGCACTGCACGAGGGTGCGGCAGCCACGGTTAATAATTGAAGCATCCTTCCTACACACGTGTCAGCGGCCGTACATGTCACCGGCCGTACGTGTCACATGACACTGTGTCCTGCACGCGACGGGAAAATTCGATTCTATCGCTCGCGAAAAAGTTCCTCGAATCGTCATGGGAAGCTGGACTCCGCCGCGCGGGCAGCGCGCGGCTAATTTTAGAAAAATTAATGAATCGTCGTACACCTTAATCGTAATCCTGTCTATTAATTAATAGTAATGCTGTTTGACGGTGTGATGTCAGATATTTGAACAATATAAACCTCTGCGCTAATAAATCTATTTGTCTTTGTTGTCTCGCAGAAAAGAGAAAATGTAAACTTGACATGTGTCGTATACAAACTTGATATTGCTAGTGCATATCAATTTTGTATCTTTTAAGCGCTGAAACACACACTCCAAAATGTAAAATATAAAAGATATTTCAGCTGAGAGTGACTGACCGTAGTTGCATTGGACGCTCCGCTTGGAAACGTCAAATTGTCACGCGACAACAATAATAATAACAAAGGTTTACTATTATATTTCATCGTTTCATCGCGTTCCCTTTGACAGCGTAAAAAGTTCAACCAGAACTATGATCGACTATGATTCGACTGTGATCATTCGAGTTCAAATCCAGGGAGAGTATCATCAAACACGTATAAGTAACTTTATCCTTCCCTTTATCTCTACGCGCGTACGAGAGAACAAATCGTCTCGAAGTTATCGCGCGATTTCCAGTTCGAAGAATGTAAAAAAATTATCACATTCCTTCGATATCGCATCAGTGAACAACGATTTTCGCCTTCTGATCGAATCTGGTCAACTGAACTTTTTAAAGTGAATAAAAAATGTGATGTATAAGTAGGCGGCGGAAGTGATTCGATTATCCCGATCATATCTCCCCGAAGTGACGCCGAAATGACAAAAACGTTTCGCTGTGAGATATACCAATACCGGTTTGTAAATGTTTTCTAACACAGGAATCGTTAAGAATCCGTAGTAATTAGCGCTGCTTAAGTAAAGAATAATCATAGTCATATAAATTGTAACTTGTGTGTAATAATTGTCTTCATTAATTCAACAGTGTGATAACTTTCGAATAATTAAATCATAACTGTAATCTTAATCCGATTAGTATTGAAATATGTGTAAGTCGTCATCGTCGACAATGTCGTTGTATAATTGTCAGTTATTAATGTAATTTCACGTGACAGTGATGACGAGAAATCGTCATTTTTCTTTTATCGGAAACTTTAATTCCACTCCGACTCATGATACATTCGTGTAACGTTCGTCATTAAAAAAAAACAGCGCAAAAACAATTGTCACAGACAGGTAATGATTCAGTCGAAAGGAATTGGAGCTCCAAAGCACGTGAAAGAGGAAGCGTACGTCGATGTTTCGTATCGCACGGTGGTGGTAGTGCACTTTGCTCGTTTGCAGGACCACTTCATTTCGCGAAGATGAATTCCAGCATGAACTTTACGCCGGTGCCAGAGTCCACGGGATACGAGTGCGGGCCGCGCTTGGAATCCTTCCACAATTGGTATTTTGAGGTGCACGGATGGGCTAGTCTGCTGGTATGCATATTCGGCTCAATCGCCAATGTGCTCAATATCGCCGTGCTGACGCGTCGTGAGATGCAATCGCCCACTAACATGATTCTCACCGGTCTCGCCGTGGCCGATCTCCTCGTGATGATCGAGTACATTCCTTACACGATCCACGGGTACCTGTATAAACGATCCCGCAGAGATACATTCACCTACGGCTGGAGCATGTTCGTGCTGATCCACTCGAACTTCACTCAAGTATGTCACACGATCTCGATCTTTCTTACGGTGACACTGGCGGTCTGGAGGTATATCGCAGTAGCGCATCCGCAGAAGAATCGCGAGTGGTGCAGCGACAAGCGCACCTTCCTGATGATCGCCTTCGCATACGTGTCCTGTCCGATACTTTGCATACCGGTCTATATCAACAGCGAAGTGCGGCCGCAAATGGAATTACTAGACAAACGGGGGATGAGCGTGAATCTGACGAAACTCCAGCAGACAGTCAACAACACGGACGAGTTTCTCGAAGGCATGACCAATACCACGTTGTACTTTGTGAGACTCACCGAGTCTCCGGTAAGCAATGCCCTCAAGGACATCAATCTCTGGATTTACAGTGTAGCGATCAAGCTAATACCGTGTATAGCATTGACGGGATTGAGTTTTAAGCTCGTCAAGGTGTTGCTGGAGGCGAAACGGAGGCGGAAGAAGCTCACTACGAAAAACACCGCTATCAAAATGGGCAATGGCAAGGAGCACGTCTGCGAGAAACCCAAAAAGAGGAGAAAGGGCAATGATAAAGAAAGACAGACTGACAGGACTACGATGATGTTGTTGGCGGTGCTCCTGTTATTCCTCATCACGGAAATGCCGCAAGGCATCTTAGGATTGCTTAGCGTTATATTGGGCCCGAGTTTCTTAAACACGTGCTACATGAAGTTGGGTAAGTTCAACATGTATCAACATGAATAAATATTAATATTATTTTATATATAAGATACTTTAATTGCAGTGGTTTTAGAACTAAGCCATATTATAGCTAAGGTAATTTAAAATCTTTCTTTTATTTCTAATTCAATTTAGAAATGCAATTGAGTACTCTCTCTCTCTCTCTCCCTCTCTCCCTCTCTCTCTCTCTCTCTCATAATACATTCAACAGTTAAAGTACTTAAGAAGCATATTTTCTCGATTTACATAATCAATTTTATGATTCAATTGCTTTTAAATGCTTGAAAAGAACAAGAGCAGTGGATGATTCATGCACTGTAATATATAAAGATATGTCCACATTCGTTATACATATCGCACGAGGGCTGAGATTTAATTAATAAATTCTAATGTAATTTAACGGATAAATATTTGATCACTACTATTGTGACAGTGACGAATGTGCAAGAATTAAATTCTATATAATAACGATGATACTATATTATTATTCATTTTATATGCCATGTATGTTTTAGATATTACTTCATTTCCATTATTCTTAAATTCAACACTTTTTTTATATAATTTAGTAAAAAAAGATAAAAGAGATTTTAATGACACTAAATAACAAACAATATCTGTGCTATTGGTACATTATATAATAATTCTTTTACATCGCTTTACAGTATCATTTCCACGTAAAAGCTTTAATGATTGCTAACGTAATTTACACGCAGGTTTATTAACCACCATTATTTACCAAATGATACAGTCCCATTAAACGTATATAAAAACATAGAAAAACGATATACTGAATTTGATTAAAAAAAATTAATATTAAACGTAAAAAAACGATATACCGAATTTGATAAAAAAAATTGATATTAAGCTATAAACTAACGAAAAAAATTGGATGACAGAACTGATGAAAATTGAGTTCGTATGATCAAAACGTACGGTTCAAAAACAAAAAGGCGATTTAAATTCACGCCACGAAAACTCGTACGAATCTCGAGTATTTACTGTGAATTTCATGAATTTGTCTATAAGACATCTCGTTTGCCGGAGCACCGTAAATAGAAAAACACGCCGTTCCACTCGACATTTACGATAAAGCATATAAAACTTCTATCGTAAAAGTTCCTCAGGAGTAAGAGAGGCGTCATAGCGTGAAATATGACAGTCCAATAATTTGTGTAAAGAACTTTTAATAAGTGCGATCTTTCCGTCAGAGAGAGGCAACTGCTACCGGCAATATTTCACGCGCAGAGTGATAAATCATTAATGCTCGTCCGTTAATTGGCGTGACACTTGAAAATTGTATAATATTTCAAAGTAATTCAAAAGATCGTCACGATAGTATTGTATCGTAAATGCAAGATTTATTGTAAGATTTCAACTTTGCTGCGAGGATTGACGCGAGATCAAATTTTATTTGATGTTACCGGAATTGTTGATTAACTAGTAATAAGAAATATCTCAGGAAGAGGATTTTTTATCAAAGAGAAAAATTCTATCTAAATTATACATAACGGTCACTCTGACGAAGGATCATATGATTCATAATTGATGTGCTCGATATTACGATGTCTCATGCGTGAAATTTGAAATTGAGGCGGAAACAGTGTTACGCAGATCAAATTATGCATTTCACGAACATTAAATATGTTTACTTTACGTCACCGGCATTTTCATCGTCGTCACGTTTAATCTGCATTTTACATCATCATATATTATACGTCGCTCTGAAATTGTTACGAGATGTGAGTGGTTGAAAGCATTACAAATACTTTTGAAAGCGGTATATTAATATATATTACGTCAATTACAACTTATTATCAAAACTGTACTTTTACAGTATTTTACAACGATGCGATATTTCATCGTACATCATATTACATCATTTTCGTGTGAAATTGGCTTACAATAATATGTTTCAAAATTATCGTCACTAGATTATACACGGGTGTGTAATCGCGATTTATTAGATTTATTATACTAGAAATTATTGGAATTATTGGAATAATTATCTTTTATTTCATATAAAAAGATAAACGAATGAAAATGCGTGTGCTCATATAATGATTTCGTTCCATTCAGCACAAAACCAGCTCAATAATGTCACAATCAAATGCAAAAAAAAATCAATATCTCCCTTTTTTATCATACATATCGTCATATCGTAAAATTATACTATCGAAGGCAGGAAGAGTGTCGCGCAGAATGCTGTGTACGACAAATCTTCTCTGCTCCATAGTCCAAATGCGACATAATAAGGTCTTTTTACCCCGTCGGAATATTGGATCGAGGAAAAAGGACCAAACAACGTGCTGTTAGATGTCGAAACTTCGCAAATATTTTATGTTATATGAAATTCCGTACTGAACCTCTTAAAGCTCGGATTCTTCGCCGATATGTTATCGTACATCAAATCAATCCGTTAACTATTTTAAGAAATGGAAAAAAAAACATTTCTTTCATATCCCGACGGAAATTGCAATCCGAAGGTAACTCATTTTCTCATCTCATTGCATTATTCTCTTTTGATTTCACGATCCAATTATCAAAAGCACGAATACTTTTGTAAGACAATTCGAATACCCTCGTAAAATAGTTATACAGATAAAGAGGCATATATATGATACCTCGGTATGATTTAAAGTCTTGCGAGATTCATGAATATTTTAAGGATCACAAAACTTTCCCTTTTTTCTTCCGAGTTAGCAAAAAATAAATTGGAAATCTGCGGTAGAACGCAAATCAGATCGTGACGTTGGATGAAAATATGAGTCGTCGTTAATTTAAACAGAGAAATATTTTATGACCACAAATTTATCATATTTTATGAATCGTAATTGTTTTTACATAAAATATTGCTCTTACAAGATGTTATCATACTAAAAAGTTTCGAAATTAAAAAGTGCCCAAATAATTTCATCAAATATTCACATCTCACAAGTATGAAAGAATTAATTATACATTTTAGAGTAAACAATAATCTAAATATTAATATATGTTAAAACTTTGAAACTTTAAGTTTTCAACTATCCAAAACTTTGAAAGATTTTAAGACACATATTTGAGATCGAAAAATTGAAAAATGTAAAATTTCGAGCTTTCAAATATTTAAATATCAAAAAGAGTTTCGAACGTATCTGACGATTGTGAATCCTGCGAACGACAGGCGAGGCAATTTCATACATTTCCAGTTAGATTTACTCTTCTGTTTTTGATGCGCAACTAGCAGCAGAGTCTCTGCATTTGTGTTCTATCTTCGATTGGCGTATTCTAATTAACACGTGTACCTTCACTGATGTTGTAATCACGTACAAATGTAATCTTCTTGTATGGCAAAAGCAAAGGCCAACAAGCATTGTGTGTATATGTACGATACATCGTTATGTGTAACGTTATATTCACTCCTCGATTTAACCGCGGAGTTTCATGCAAAATACAAACTCTACCCTTTTGTACACCGAAGATTACGCGGATATTACAAAGATATTGATAATAAGACGTCAATAAAAGAATTTCAGATCTTTTCGAACATTTTCTTCCGCAATTTATTTTTTATATCTTCGCCAATGATTATTGATTCGCGATTAGTTAGGAGTTCGTTGAAATGCGCATTTCGTTTAAAGCGTCCATTATGTTTCAGAAAAAAAGAAAAAAAACACAAATAATTAAAATGACCAGTTCTATTTTTCTTTCATTACCTTTACAATCTTTACACGGAGGATCGAGAGTTATATATAATCATTTTTCGCATAAAACAATCAAATTAAACTTTTATACCCGGAAGCGGAGCAAGTAAGTTTACTGAAATTAATTCCACGGTGGTCTGTTAGAATGTACGGAGTCCACTATCTAGTGAGCGAAAATATATTCCATTTGTGCCAGTTCATTAGCAAATGGAATATATTTTCTTTCGTCGTAATACACACGGCATCAGATTCCTACGTATTTGAACTTCAATACGTAGTTTCATATTATATATGAGAAAAGTTATCATGAAAATTTCACATCACGTATTACTCAATTTCATATGCAAACGAGTAATTTTTTCTTATATAGAAAGTAACGTTTCTGTACGTATGTATATATCAATATCCAGTGCATTTGATGAATAAAAACAATTTGCGCTACAAGCCGAAAATTCTATAAGGATAAATATCACGATTTTATTAAAAATAAAAGGCAATAATTTCAAATAAAGCCAATATGCAACAAATAATGAGGGGAAAGAGAGCCAACTACGGCCTAGATGTAGGTTGCCCAATAATTCTTAATTTTTTAATCTTAATTAAGGACCCCGCACCATTCTTATGAAAAAATGTCTTTCTGTGGATTTGTCTAATTTTTTGATATGTGTAGTTCTCGTCATTCTAAACAAATGTCTCAATGGACACAACTTGATCCTAAGAACCATTTCCGCGTTATGAGCCCTGGAAAGTCTAAGTTTAACACGTAAAAATATATGCTTTTCGACTCAGTATATGTCACCATTAGTCAAATGTGCGCGCGCGCACGCATGTGTGTGTGTGTTTTAATCAGTAATATTATTACTTATCAATATTTCGTCGGATTTTCTAATAATCCGACAAATTCTAATAAATCGATCGGATTTTGCTGCAGTAGTCTTTGACCAGCGTCTAATACAAAATGAAGTAGAGATATGCGCGCGCGCTTACCACACACACACACACACACCACACATCACACACACACACACACACACACACACACACACAACAACAACAACAAACGCACGCAGCACATTCGGTTCACGTTAACATATACTGACAATGAGTCAAAAAGCCTACACTTTTACGTTTTAAATCTAGATGTTCCAGGGCTTATAGCGTAGAAACGGTTCATAGGATCAAACTATGTTCATTGAGGCATTTTTTCAGAATAACGAGAACTACACATATAAAAAAATTAGCCAAATCCATAGAAAGACATTTTCCCATAACAATGGTGCGGGGTCCTTTCGGCTATCGCACGTCGATTTAC